TGTTGGCTGACAGCATTTGTCATGGTTATGGCAGCATGAGTCACTTTTTGGTGAATTGTGAAACGTTTTGGTGGTTGTAGGGCATTTTGCACCAAAGGTTAAGTGGTGTGCTCAGTTGTGTATTGGTACAGCCCACTGTGTTAAGTGTTTTGAAAAAGTGGACATGGTATTGAGACAAGTGTGAAAATGATTGGAAGAAACTGTAAGTAGAAGTGTTTGACCAGTACTATACTACGATTAAGATTAAGTAGGATTGCATGACCAGTACTATGCTACGATTAAGATTAAGTAGAAGTGCTTTACCAGTACCATGCTGGAACCAGTAGGAGGTTGGTAAATGACCAGGGGTGAGTTTCCCGAAGCCTTCTTAACGCTACGTCGTTCGTTAGTTCTATTTTTTAACACAGAACTTAAGAACGCCGTAGCGTGAAGAACGCTTCAGGAAACTCACCCCAGTTCTGTTTGAAACACTTTTCTGTTTCTGTTCGTTTCAGAAGGATCAAAAGCAGCAGGTGCTGCAAGTTAAAGGCTGTAAGGTAAAAAGCTCCTCTTTCTCTCCTTTCTCTCATTTCTCCTCTTCCTCTCCTTTCTCCCCTTTCTCCTCTTTCTCTCCTTTCATCTCTTTCTCTCCTTTCTCCCCTTTCTCTCCTTTCTCCTCTTTCTCTCCTTTCTCCTCTTCCTCTCCTTTCTCCCCTTTCTCCTCTTTCTCTCCTTTCTCCCATTTCTCTCCTTTCTCCTCTTCCTCTCCTTTCTCCTCTTTCTCTCCTTTCTCCCCTTTCTCCTCTTTCTCCCCTTTCTCTCCGTTCTCTCTTTCTTTTTTTCATTTATATAAACCTGTTTAAAATGCAAAGAATTCATATCTGAAACAAACCAGAGTAGTTTTTATGTAGTTTATATGTAAATTCAAATTTATTCAATTTCAATTCAATTCAATTTTATTTAAATAGCGCATTATCACAACATTACATTGTCTCAATGCGCTTTACATTTCTGCCTCGTAAGGACCCCCCATTGAGTAAGCCAAAGGCAACGGTGGCAAGGAAAAACTCCCTAAGAGGAAGAAACCTTGGGAGGAACCAGACCCAAAGGGGGAGCCCATCCTCCAGGGGCCGGCAGATGAGTCAAACAAACAAGATGATATGACTAAGCTAATACAGACAAGATGAAATGACTAAGCTAATACAGGGGTTGAAATATATGTCTCAATGCAGTGGCCGACCGGTGCAGGCACGTGGTGCTTGATGCACGATGGCAGGATTAATAGATACACAGCCGCAGGATGGATGGCGAGGCATCGTGTTGAGCCAAGGGCAGGCAGGTTGGAGGGTAGTTGCCGGAGGTCGAGGTAGTTGTCTTGCAGGCCGCAGAGGCATAAACTCTTCAACGACATTGTGCTCCATGGAGCACACCCCAGAAAGGGTGAGGGAGGAAGTAAGAATAATTGTGTATTAGCCAGAGTTGAGGAAATCAGAGGTAGTGCAAGCAAAATGATCGAGTGCAATATTCGTCTAGGCTCCGGCAGATCTGAGTATAGCAGCATGAGAAAGAGGGAGAGACAGGCGGGAATACAGGCATGGGGACTCCCTGAACATCAGCACTCTAGTGTAGAGCCAGAGTGACAGCACTGACGCCTCAGTGTATCCAAAGCCAATGACACCGATCCCCACCCAGCTCATCACCTCATACTGTTAGTCTGACTGGGAGTGAGGGACTAGCTGGAACCAGAACTAGGTTTCCTATACGCTAAGCTATACAAGTGCGTTTTTAATCTAGACTTGAAAAGCGAGAGTGTGCCTGAATCCCGCACATCCGCCGGGAGACCATTCCACAGCTGCGGAGCTCTGTAAGAGAATGCTCTGCAGCCTGCCGTAGCCCTGTCTACTTTAGGAACTAATAGATATCCTGCTCCTTGTGAACGAAGCAGGCGAGAAGGGTTGTAACGTGAACAAATCCCACCTTTATTTATTCATACAAGGAATGTTTGCTGGGTACATGTAGATGTAGCTGTAGACGTAGATGTAGATTCTTTATTTGTCACATGTAGTTATAGCTGCTACAACATACAGTGAAATGCTTTTTCTGGCAAAAAGTCCCCCGGCTGTGCTATACATACAAAAGGAATAAGTACCAACATCACAGAACGATAAAGATAAAGAAAGATAAAGTGCATACAGTATACAGTATATAATACATATAAGTATACAGAACATGACATTGCACTGTGAAAGTATAAATATAAAGTATAAATTGCACTGTATACAGATTGCACTGTGAAGATATAAATCTCACTGTAGGTGTGCCATAAAGTGCAGATATGCAAATATTTTATAAGTTATGGAACTGGATAGTAGACGTTTCTGTCCTGTTGGCGATGGTAGCCTGGACTATCCCCAGAGACACTGGGAACAAGGCCGGGAAACTGGGGTCTGGAATCCCCAGTCATAGCAGGGTGCAGACATGGGCGATGTGGAGCCGACGGGTCACCTGAAGGCATGCATCAGAAAAGCAGTTAGGGACGATAAATGAATGGATCGTCACAGTCTACTTTTACTGTAAAGCACAGTACCAGTCAGAAATCTGGACACGTCTCATCATGTGACCTGGCCACCTGACCTAAACCCAGCAGAAATGGTTTGGGAGGAGTCTGACCAGAGAGTGACGGAAAAGCGGCCAATGAGAGCTCAGCATGTGGGGATTCCTGGAAAAGCGGCCAATGAGAGCTCAGCATGTGGGGATTCCTGGAAAAGCGTCCCAGGAGGCCACCTCATGAAGCTCAATAAAATACAGAAAAACATTTCTAATGATTTTACACCTATCAGAGTGCTGGACCACAAAAAAGAACAAATCAAGTAACAAAAGAAGAGGCTGCACTTTGTATAATACGGTTATATTACTCATCGTCTCAGCAAAGATGCGTTTCAGTGTAATGCATTCTTCAGTGTGGCCCTGACAATGTGCACGTCCAGTTTTAAAAAAAGACGCACCCCTGCCAGATAGCCAATGGTGCAGGGCATCACCAGGCTACACCGCTAATTAAAACAACATAATAATACACAAATCGTAACATACGTAACGAATGATACGTATACAATGTGACATACAAAGAATTAATATCACAAAAACCAGGTCACGGAGAAGTCTTCATTCATCCTACTTATTAAGGGGGTTTGTATTATGTGAATCCAAACTTTCGGCCGGGACTGTATATTAATAATCACCTTTAATTATTGTAATTATTTTACAGCCTGAGGATTTCTGCAGGGCTTGCAACATCCTGTCCAATATAACTCACCAAGAATTTGGACGCAGGGGGCTGATTGTGAGGATGCTGAGAGTAAATATCAAGCACATGGTGCGTATGTCTGCATGTGTGAATGGCTGCAGTGCGGTTGTGGCTCTGTGCCTGTCAGCACTGGGGATGCTCAGCGACTCTTCGTCAATTGCAGGGTGAGAAATGCAGCAAGCTGGACGAGAGCAAGGACACGGTGGAGCTGCAGGCAATGCTCAAGCACCTGCAGAAATGTGTGCGTCATAAACAGAGCATGATAAGCAGTGAGCCGGCAACAGGAGCCCTAGCTGCAGTGAGCGGCCAGCAGGAGCCCCAGCTGCTGTGAGCCGCCAGCAGGAGCCCCAGCAGGCACCAGTGAGCCGCCAGCATCTTGCTTTCTCTCTCGTATTTATTTATTGGAGCTGGGTACTGAAGCCCCGCCCCCTTATATTTTCTAGGCATCTGCGCTTCTCATTCCATGATATTTTATGTATTTTTTCTGTTGTCCCGGGAGTTATGGGGGGGGAAGCGCTGCATGTTTTTACTTACTCTTAATCCTAGTATAGTACTGGTCAAACACTTCTTCTTACTCTTAATCCCAGTATGGTTCTGGTCAAATCAACATTCACAAAATATACAGGAGACTCTGGCAGCCTCCACTTCCGAGCTACAAAGCACAAAAGCAGTGTTATGTCTATTTTTATGTTTATTTGATTGTATTGACTTATTTATAATTTTTATAATTCATATTTATCAAAGAAATAAATGTTGAAAACAACACGATGGTTCTGTTTTGTGATGCACTACATTGTGTATAGCAGTGCACTACATCTACTGACCATGAAGAGCAGAGATGCCTCCATCCATTATGCTGTGGGACCGTCTCGTATTGGAACTTGAAACGCTGCGTACCGTATTATAGTGGACGATCCCGTATTATAAGGGACGAATAGCAACTCTACCTAGGAATGCTGGGTATAATGTGACGACAGCTGTTTGAAATGTCTCTCTTTTGCATAAGAATGAATGGTACAGTATATTGCACCATTCAGAAGCTATACATACATACATAGAAAATCTGATGCCAACTGTGTTAAAGTCACCCCACCTGTACACCACAGTTCTGAAATCTTTCCAGGATTATAATTCCGTTGATGATAATACAGCTGTAGTAGTGCTTTTGACTGCGGAGTTCCTGTTTTTCCCCATAATTTGTTTGGGCTCAACTTAAACTTCTGTTGATAAAGGTCGGGGTTGTGTAGACACCTCCGACATCACGAGTCAAAATTCCAACTTCAGGGGGCTTTCTGGTTGAAATTTTTGACTACGAAGTCGAAAATTCTGAGTTACGATCAAATGGAACGCAGTGTGAATCAGTGCAGAGCTGGGTAAGTCCTGTGGTGATGTGTCTCGCCTGAAGAAAAATCAGTGTTGTGATACCGAAAAGCCAGAGTTACCGCTATTTATGCTGCGTTCCATTAACCTCAGAGGTCGGAACTTTCTGTGGAAACAATTACAGTCACAGATGTTTATTTGCCACACGACCAAGGCCGGTGGAATTTATTTCCGGTACAGTGCATTATATTACTCTGCATACAATGCCGTACATAAATGGACCACAGCAGACTCTCCACATATTACTGGTACCGCAAAGGACCAAAAACACACCAAAGACTTTATTCTAGTTCAGCATATTTCTACTACATTCCATGGTCTGCACACCTGAGCCAGGTAATTAGAGAACATATCACTAGCTGCCCAGCAGAATCAGATAAACTGTGGAACAAAACTGTACAACTGAGTAAGACTCTCTCACATTTTTTCCAAAAACATGTGCGTGGCCCAATACCATATCCCCAATATCAAAAAGCTTTGAGGGGCGTGCAGTAAGATGCACTGACACGCAGTGACACACAGTAACACGCAGTGACACACACAGGCCGCAGGCCATGGCCTTTGCTTGAAGCCCCGCCCAGTCACTTCCTGTGGTGTTCCTCCAATTGCATGTCTGATCCACCTCCAGAGTCCCGCCCTCCACCTCACTCTATTTGGTCTTGTAAGTGAGATGCTGGCGATGCCAGTGGATCCATGCAGGGGCGATAACGAGGCCAGACAGGAAGCCGAGGGTGGCCCCCAGCGTGCAGGGGATGGGCCAAACCTACAGAACAATCACACACAGGAAGCATTTCTCAGGGACTGACCTCTGACCTCTGACAACACCAAGGGAAGCAGATGTTCAGCATGACAATCTATGATATGGGTCCAAGAGACCAGGCCAGACCGATGACTATGGACAGGTCAGACTGACTGGGCTTCCTGTGCGATTACGACCCTGCCGTTATGACGTCATGTAGCCGACTCTAAGCGGTCAGCACAGAAGTCCGGGCAGGTCTAAGGCGTGTACCGGTCTAGTGTCCTCACCTGCCAGGGCCGGTCCCAGTCCAGGGGGATGGGAAAGGCCCCCAGCCAGGCCCCCATGATGCTGCAGGCTGTGGTGATCTGCAGGGAGGTGTCCCACACCGACATGGCCCTGGGGGACACGGCACAGAGACTGCATGAACACGCTGCGTCCGGGACGGACGGACGGACACGGACACGGACACACACACACACACACACACACCCCATATAAATGCATTCATTAAAAAGTTACAATAAGTTACACACTTATATATAAATAACCCAAGTCACATTTTCAAATATAACTTGCAATACAATTACATTTTATTGAACTTAGTATATTCAATATTAATATGTTTCATCTGACCAGTAGGGGGTGCAATTGCACCACATACACCCTGGGATAAATCGCCTAAGCACAGCTGCACACACACAGCTACCAGAGGGTCCAGGCTCACCCAGCACCAAGAGTCAGAAGCTCTATAAAAGTAAACATTTCTTTTTGCCACCTTTCTATCCCTGTATAGTGGGGGGGTGCGTGGGGCTGTTGGACAGGGCTGGAGTTTGTGCGATATGGATTTGTGGGGAGTGTGGGGGTGGCAGAGCCCCCTAATAATACAGTGACCGCGTCTGACCGGCTGGCGGTGTGAACCGGACCCACCCATCGCGGCTGAAGACCCGGATCCAGGCCTGAATGTTGGGGCCCAAGAGGCAGAGGCATCGCAGGGTGGTGAACGTGGACAGCAGCACGGCCAGGGAGAAGGTCTCCAGTACGGACCTGCAGGTGACACGTACAGGCTCACGCACACAGGCTGGATATCGGGAAACGCAGACAAGCAGCCACACTTCTCTGAGGAAGCTATACACCACCATCCCAACCAACGAATCGTCCGACGGCAGCAGGGGACGACAGAACTGCTCAGGCACATTCACCGAAGTGTCAGAATGGACCAGGACCACTTAGGCGTGCAATAAGCACTTTACACTACTATCTATTACTGTACAAACCACTGTACAGTTTTATTTCTTTCTGAGCTGTTAGTATGGAATTCCATGCAATACTTTCTCTGACATTTTCTGCATTGTTACTATGTTCTAAATGTGCATATTGCGCTATAGTAAACCTGCAATTTCCTTTGGGATGAAGTATCTATCTACCCTGAATCAATCAGTCAGTCAGTCAGTCCATCGTGCTCTGGCGTCCAGAAAAGGGACTAAATGCAAACTCAGCTAGTTAGAGGATGGGATGACGGACAAGAATCACAGGAGCATGAATGACACCCTCAAACAGGTCAGCAGGCAGATAAAAACTCTTCGGGAGATGGGAGAGGCGATACTCACTGCAGCAAGGGGGCACCATAGAGCAGAACCACAACGTGGAAGAAGAGGCAGGACAGGCAGAAATAGAGGCAGCAGCGGATCAGCCTGGACACCTGCATGTGAGCCAGAGGAGAGACACCTCACTGTTACAGTGGCACAGAAACGCCTGGCACGGTGACTAATACTCTCACAATGCGGCACACAATTAAGTCATCAGTCACATCAAACATCTGAAAATAATTACAAGTCCATTGCCGTTGCCCTAAACCCCAGAAATCGGTGACACGCATCAGGATATCTGTACTTTCCAGACCTTGTGACCAAGTGAGTTCCTCTTGGCTGCTGGACCGACTCCGAGCAGCCAGAAGAGGGCGATGTTGACCGCAGCGACCAAGCCAGCCACGGAGTACAGCCACACCAGGTGGGTCTGGTACACCGAGAAATTCTGCAGGAGGATGGTGGGCATCACTGTCGCCATAAGGATGGTACCGGCGAGGATGACATGGGCAGATGCCATGCCCTTAATCTCCTGATCCCACATGACGGCACCTTTCCGGAAAGACGTTTCACTACAGGAAGGCGCCAGAAAAGACAGCCTCCTTATGTCCGTGAGAGATGTGCCCTCCCTCCGCGAATCCCATACGCTGTCCTGTGTGGCACAAGAGTCACCATTTGTCTTTGTACATCAGTATATGGGAATCCTCATTTGCACCATCCAGTCAGTAACATGTAACAGGACCAGAGAGTACAAGACGGACACTCACAAAACATCAAAGTAGGTACTTTAGAGGCACGCATTTAAGGATTCAAAGTTTTACTGTCATATGGACAAAGTACAGTGTACAGAGTAAAATGAAATTCTAACTTGAACGGCTCCTTCAAAGACCAGACAATTAACAATTAACAAAGCAGTGCAACATTATAAGTGACATTAAATAAACAACAGACAATTAACAACTAACAAATAACGTAATAATATTGAAGAAAATATTTAATAAAAGAAATGACTGAAGCAGAAGATAGCTAAATAAGAATGCAACACTGGATAAAATCACAAATAAAGTGTCGGTTTAGAACTACAGTGCATCTGGCCTTTTTAATTCTCCGTTTAATACGCAGGTGCAACATGCACATCTGCAACGACGGCAGGAAGACATGGAGCCTGTTACAGCCTACCTGAAAGTTAAAGGTCCCGCAGCAACTTACAGCTGAACTGAAAGAGATAACAGTGATTTCTTAGAGACCAGAATCCACTATCAGAACAGCTGAAATGTGTTTTAAATGCTTTAGAGTTGAACTTAACGATTTCAGAATACCGAAGATCAGTGGCAGTAAAACCGGAAGCTGCGATGACTGACAGACACGTTAACTAATCGTAGTCTTCTTCTTCATCTTCTTCACGTACCGTGTTTTGGCAGTTTGATCCGCGTAACGGCGCCTTAGCGCCATCTATTGTACTGGAGTATTGAACTCATGTCTGTAACTGGATAATGACCAATCACAAAGTCCGACGAGTAACACATCCGGAACACCGCCACTACCTAAAGGTCTCCACGGAAACGCAGCACTCCAATCTCGTGCCGAGAGGAAGCGGAAGTGCTGTGTGTGAGATTATCAGTTGTTGTTATTGACGCCATGGTTTGTGAGAAATGTATGTACCTTTACTTTTGCCCTTTGTTTAATTTAATTGCAGGTAGCATTTGTGGTGTTTCTGCGTATTTAGCTGCGAAACAATGGAATAACACTCTTGCAATTTGTTGCAAAATTAATGAATACCAATTCTTTAATAATTTGACGGCCTCGGTATATGTTTGTTTTTATATATAGTTCAGTTTCTGTGCATTGTTTACGTGTTTTATATATTATTTACTTAATATTTGTATTGCATTGACTAAAAGTCACTAACGTAATCTCGTCAGGGTTGCCAACTTTGGCAGTGAGATTTTCAATTCGAGACAAGTCTGCACACACGTGCACATGCATGCAATAGTTTTATTACCAATAGTCTGTAGGGTTTGCAAGCTACCCCAACGCTTTTGATGTGCCTAATTTTAGGTTTATAATGGAACATTAAAGATTTTTTGGGTGAGTGTGAGAGTCTGAAAGCGTGAGTGTCATTCCAGATGCGTGACAGTTGGCAACCTTGTCTCATTGTGTGAAAAACAATTTTTAGAAATCCTTTGAGTTTTGACCCTAGAGTCTTTATCTGTTCATGTAACGTTTCATTTACTGGGGCTGTTGGTCAGGTTTGACCCTGCTGTCTGTCTTCACTGTAACAGGTGAGAAAAAGCTGGGCCGTGTCATCACACCGGACACGTGGAAAGATGGAGCCCGAAACACTACTGGTGTGACTCTGCTCAGCTTCACCAGATCCAATGATGGCAAGAATGTTAAACTAATGAAAGGTACTAAACTTGAATTGTGCCACTTTTCAGAGAGCGGGGGGCGCAAGCTGAATGAAAACAAGGCCTTGACTTCAAAAAAGGGAAGGTGAGTCCGGTGCTGCCCCAGTCATTCTAGGGTGGATTCGCCGTGATGGTTGTGCTGAGCACGGTCAGACCAGGGCTCCTCTCCTGCAGGTTTGATCCCTATGGGAAATCCCGCTTCGCCATCTGCCGCATCTGTAAGAGCTCCGTGCACCAGGCCGGCTCCAACTTCTGCCAGGGCTGCGCTTATAAGAAAGGTGGGAGCGTCGCCCGGCCTGTTTGAGAAGCGGAGGTGGACTTGACTTAAACGGCACGTTTTATCGTTGTGACTGAGGATGAGGAGCACGCTGATGCCAGTAGCCTGTTTGTGCCCAACAGGGATCTGCGCCATGTGTGGGAAGAAAGTCCTGGACACCAAAAACTACAAGCAGACG